AATTAAATTTAAATTAGTTATATTGACATACTAGTAAAAGTATATGTTAGTTAAAGTAGAAAGTACAATGTGCTGACTAAAGTACCATATTACCGAAGGTGGGCTTGTTGTATATCTGGTTTCAAATAAGTATCGACACAATTCACTTATAATATTATTTTTGATAATATTATTATTAACTTTAAGTTATACATGGATATGTATAAATATGTAAGGTACGTAAGAAATTCAGCCTTTATGTTCCTGTGACTGTCACGTACGGAGATTTGGTTTGAAAAAATTGCTAACTCCGTAGCCAGAAAAGCTGGAAGACTAAAATTTTAAGGAAATGTTCCCTGTCCAAGTGCAACTTAAAGATTTCAAATTTTACTTCTAAGTATACGTGGACTTTTTATGCCAAATTTACGATGATTTACGGTAATGAGTGCGTAAGGTAGGTGTTAAGCAACAACCATTCTCGCAGTTAACGACCTGATTACTTCATGTTTGGTGCAAAAGCGCATGATCACATCAGCAATCCTGATGCATTTCAGCCTCAGTCTTCAGTGGATGTGGAGTTCAGTTCCCTTCACAGTGAATGCATGCTCACTTAAAAACTAATAGCTCCATGCAACAGTGTCGTCTGCAAAAACAAATAGAATATTTCATCTGTTTGTTGTTGCAGTTTTCCTTAAGACGTTTTCTAGAGGCTTTTATGGGAACAAATTTTCTCACTGTGTTGCTCACCTCTATCAGTTCTAATTTTTAGGGGTTTGTGAAAAATAGGTATTTTTGTATGTAATTCTTTGAAAAATTCTTTGATAGTCTGATGTACCGGATCGAACTTTTGATCTGAATTATGCGCCAGCCTGCTGTTTAGAAAGCCTTTTTGAAATCGAGGATTAGCAAGGTGTATTTTACTTTTTTCGCCTTTCTACCAAATGCGTTATTGTGAAAAAAATTGCAGGTTTATTATGGATCTTTCTTTTAAATAATCATTTAGGAACGTGACAAGCAGTACTTGACAAAAGCAATTGTGTCGGAATTGGTACAAGCACTGAAGTTTAAGTGCGATATGAATGAGCACAATTACATGACGATAGTGGATTTGATACTGCAGGATGCTGGAGAGAACGTTTCCGAGGAAATTGCTGATGACCAGGTGCGTGCTCAGGTCTCCTCAGTTCAAATGACTAACTATACAAGCGAAACAACCTCGCAACAGGCTGGCGCACAATCTGAGTTTCAAAGCTGTAGCAGAATCCCTTTTCGGTAATGAAAACGGCGTCTCGCCAGCAGATTCTTAACTTTTGCAAAGTTTTGATGAAACACTGTATCAAAAATGCGTTATGCATGCATGTGCTTACATGTACTTGCATCTATCTGCTTCCATGCGTGTGTCTGCATATGGAGTGAAAAAAATATCTGGAAAAAAATCGAAAAAAAAAATCGGGCGTCGGCTGTGCATGGATTGTTATGTTGGTTCGCCTATGCCGGAGGTTTAATTTAGTCTGATTGTAGTACAATACAGCAGCGTGCGATGCTGTGCGACCACATCTTTTCGATATCATCGAATTCATATCGGACTTGCACGTACTTACCAAAGTCAAGGTACCACTCATTCATTTTGCTTAGTTTATTCTCGCGCCGAATTCATTCCAAACATTTAAAAGTGCTGTGAATACCGTGTTAAAATCGCTTCGTCGTGGATATGATTTTGATGGACTGTTTCAATTATGTTTCAGAAAATCACCAATTTGGACAACATCGGCGGTGACATCAAATCATCGTTATCGCAGGTGGTTGCTGTTGAAATGAGCAGATCAAGCCTACGCGATTCGCGTACAGTGGTACCTACTCTTCTTAATAGTTGTAGTTTAATGGGAGTTTGTTGCTTTGTACATGTTTTTGCCAGCACTGAGTGACTGAAGACATTCGAACTACTCCACTCCCAATGTTTTGACACTACAGATTTGAATAATAGCTCCATTCCTTTGCATGACTGAACTGTGGGAGGGCGTGCAAAACTGAGAAAAGATGAACCGTGAAGAAAACAGATGCTCCAAATCACACCTGGGTACATGTTATCCTTTGCGTGTTACCTCTAGTACAGCTCCAAAGTACGAATGTTGGGGAAAAGTAAAATTATTCTATGAGACACCCAAGAGCGGTTTGCCATGCAACGCATATCAGTAGCCTAAAAGCAGCTCTTCGCTTCTCTGCGCTGACTTGTGATCTCAAGACCATTTCCACTGGTCTAATAACACCAAAAAAATTCGAAATTTTGGTTTCTTGTCATTTCGAAATGCATCGAAACGTCGCTGTGGTCAAGTGTAAATGCATTACGGTCAGCTGTGCATAACTGTTAAAATGTTTGAATTGTTCGGTACTAACTTGCTGCCGCTCGTTGTTTGCCTAGAAAGTATTTGCATTTGCTAGAAAATTCTCCCAAAAAAATTCTGTACACTTCGCAAAAAATAAAAACCTTTGCTAATGTTTCATCCTTTCTCCTAAAATGTATAAGGATTTTGTGTTTCGAAAAGTCCAGGCTGCGCCACTGCTACAACTCCAATTTTCCGGAGTCCAATCCGCATAACTGCTACCGGCATGAGCCACAGGTCCTTCTCAGCGACAACAATATGCCGTCAGCTTTTAGTCATCTGATA